ATGTACTGCTACATAGCGGTATATTATAAGCTGCGTTCACACGAGGATTTCAGTACCGTACTGAGCGTTCACACGGTAAAAATATTCAAGACTTATACGCGGCTTAGCAAGTACCGTACTGAAATACGAGGCTTACTTAGCGCGGAAAGTGATTCCGCGCTGAAACATTCGGCACCACGCTGGCCGCGTATTGTCTGTCGTGTGAACGCAATTCGAGGCCTCTTACTGTAGTGCGCTTACCTAGACTGGTACCCGTTTGCTACACGACGTTAGTGTAGCATGTGGAAATGTCGACCGCGTACCAGTCTATATTATACCTAGCCAGCTAAGCCTCGATTCTCGTGTGAACGCTGCGGGTTGTGTTAGCACGGTATTTCAGCCGAATTCAGCACCAGATAAGTACGGAACCAGCGAGGCCGTGAATCTCGTGTGAACGCAGCTTAAAACTAGTTAAAGTTAGTCAACAGCATAGAATGGCATAGAATGCACGGTGGCCACTAAACATTACCTGGGGTATAGGCTTCATGATATTATATATATATATGTTTTTATGGCAGACCTCCTACAGTCATATATGTAGGCCCTAGTCATTAGCTTATAGAGTGAAAATTTCACTATTGAAAGTAATTCACGTCAAAAACCTCTTGGGTCGGCCATTGTCAAGTTTACAACGCAACACTACTTTAGGCCCTCTTTATACATCACCACTATTCCTAATCCAAATCCGAGCTAATCCTAACTATACGTATGTACCGGGGTACTAAAGTAGAAAACTGTGAGCCTATATTTTAAGACTGTAGTCTGCAATGGTACGTGTACTCCTGGGTACTATATATGCTGTGCAAACCTAGCTTAAAGCTGCGTTCACACGAGATTCACGGCCTCGCTGGTTCCGTACTTATCTGGTGCTGAATTCGGCTGAAATACCGGGCTAACACAACCCGCAGCGTTCACACGAGAATCGAGGCTTAGCTGGCTAGGTATAATATAGACTGGTACCCGGTTGACAGTTCCACACGCTACACTAACGTCGTCTAGTAGTCTATTAGTAAAATTAGTAGTCTATCCTGTTCCCATATCTCTGTGGTAGTGTAATACATATCGCCTGCCTGACGAAAACATCACAATAGTCATAATTATGTAAAATATTTTTGACAATGGGCCACTGATGATCGAACATTAGTTTGCTAGAATTACTCTAAAGACAGAGTGATGTCATAGACATAATATATACATTACTCTAATGCTGTAGATATATGGAAACATGCCAAATGCTAAATTTCCAGCTTACTTATGATCATGACTCTATCTATTGCCACAGTATACTGTATCACATACTGCATTTATAGCACATATTATATAACTTATGGGTGTGTTTGTGATCACAGTAAATATTGAGATATTGATATATGTGGTGAAGTAACTTCTCTGATAGTTCACGAATGTATGACGTACTGCTTCAATGTGGCTGCGCAAACTCCAATTTTAAATTTATACCCCCCACCCGCGAGACAGTACTATGTGCATGCACTTGTACGTGCATGATTGA